TATATATTTTATGTCCCAAGTCCTCTTTTAAACTTACAATATTTTTCTATCATAAATACACAAATTATTACATTTAAAACTATGATAAACAGTGAAATAAACAAATCATTTCAGTATGTATTGTGTGAAATTATAGAAATATATAAATTATATATGGATTATACATTTATATTATACAACGATAACTGTCCCACAACAATTTTGCCACTATTTTGTTTTTAAGAGAGAAAAAAAACAACAACTTTCTTTTGTGGCAAAATTGATTGATGTGGTGGAAATGATGCATCAAATGTACCTCAAATTTGAATTTTTGTAATTTAAAAACTTGATTAGCAAAAAGACTAGTGAGAAGAAAATAAAGATGGATTTTACTTGTAAACAGTATTTTAATTGTATGTCATTTTCAATCAAGCTGTAATTTTCTCAAAATTATGCAAAACAAAAATTGTAATTGACTGTATTTAGAATACATAAAATATTAGCCGTGAAATGGAACCTTTTCACATTTTCAGGGTTTTTAGAAACAGAAGTCATCACAACTGTATATAATTGGGTAAACTTATTTTTTTTGCATTCTCATTTGGAGCAAATGAGCAATAGCAATAGGGAAAAAATCAAATAGTGTTTCTATGAGTTTCCAAAAGAGGAAAAGATATCGAGAGATGGTCTATGAAATGGGTCCATTAGTCTTAGCAAGACAAATGAGTCACTTATCTTATTCCAAAAATGTCCAAATGACCAAAATTCCAAAAATGCTGGAAATGACACTGTGGTGGAAACAGAGGAAGGTAAGACTCACTGAAACACTGCCAAAGCCTAAGAGATGGTGTAGACACCTTCTTCAGGAGGCGGAAGCTCCTGAGTAAGGAAGTGGTCAATAATTAAGCCCCTTAGCTTTTAAACGTGGCCCAGGCAGATGTTAACGTGTTTCTAACGTGTGCTGTCAGAGCCACTTCTGAGAACAGCAGGGAGACAAATTACATCCTGGCCTATGACATCCCTTTAGGACAGACCCGAGACCAGCTCTCATCTGTCCCGACCCAAACAAGTACATGAAAACTGCCATTTGACCTAATAAAAGCACTTATAAACACAACATAGCGTGTTGGCCTGAAGGTATCCGCTTTAAACAGGTCGAATATATACACCTCAATTCCGAAAAACCAAATGACCTGGAAACCTCGGGAAACTGGATCATACTGGAATGAGTCAGAATTAAAGGCATATTCCACCCAAAAATGAAACTTTGTCATCATTTACTCACCCTCATATCACTCCAAACCTGACTGAAGATATTTTGAAGAAAGTTGGGAACCAAATGGTTTCGAATCCCACTGAGTTCCACAGACTTCCAAAAAATATTATGGAAGTCAATGGAATCTGAAACCATTCAGTTAGAAACATAGTATGAATTTCAGATCCCACTGACCTACATAATATTTTTCGTCTATACTATGTTGGTAACCAAATGGTTTTGGGTCCCATTAACTTCTATAGTATGAACTAAAAATAAAACACTTGAGATGAAAAATAAGACGTGAGAAAAACATAAGAGAACTCAGGATAGATATCACTTTTTGAACCGTTTAAAAAAAAAAAAACTATGGAAGTCAATGGGACCTGAAACTGTTTGGTTACCAACATTCTTCAAAAGATCTTCCTTGTTTTCCACCGATTTTTGGGTAACTTGTCCCTTTAAACTCACTGTAAATGACTTTTCTGGTGGCTTTCATTTTCATTTAAGCAAAACAAGATACAAGATCCATCCTTGGACCAAAGCAGATTTTAGTTTTCCCACACATTGTCATTACAAACAATATCTTTAATAGGTTTCTCGTGATGAAATGTAAATAGTGCGTCACATTAACTTTATACATTAGAGAGAGGAGGAAGGGGATGTTTCTCAAATACAAACAAAGCTGACCTCTGTGCACAGGCAGGTTTAGGAGCAGCAAACCTTCCAGCATTGATCCTGAACTAGTGGCTTTCGGTTCACTCAAAGCATTCCTAGACTTAATAGGTCACTACGCTAATAGATTATGTGGAGATGGGTGGGAGCGGGTTGACACAGGTATGCAGGTTCACTCAGGGACTGTGACACACTCAGAGGGCCTCTTACACATGCAGTGTGTATGATAGAATTTCTTATAACAGCAAATGCAGTGAGCTTGAGTTTGTTTTCTTCTTAATTTAGGCTATTTTTGTGATATTGACACTGGTGACAAGAATTATGAAATGTCTATGGTATCAAACATTTTGATAACATAAAGACCTTATTTAAAGCAAAAATACATTTATAATCTTACAAAAGACTTCCATTTCAAATAAATGCTGTTCTTTTCGATTTTCTATTCATCAAAGAATCCTGAAAAAATGTACCATGAGTACCCATTATAACTAATCAATCAGTCATTTGCAGTGATTCATGGAATTATAGTTCATTCCCTAATTAACTATAAGAGGACCTTTGGTCTTTTATCCAGATTTTTTTTTCTTCAAATCAAAGTTTGTAATGTTGTGATTCACCTCAGAGCTGGTTGAGCTTGTTAAAGGCTTAGAAGTCTTTATCGAGGAATTTTCTAAAATCATTATGATGAAAATGAATAGGAAAAATACTTCTAGAATCAATACAGCTAAAACAAAAAAAAGTGTCCGGTTACACCCTAGCAATCACACAGCAGCCACCCACAGCATCCTAACAACCACCTGAAACACAACAGCAACCACCTAGCAGTCACTTATAACCTCACAACCACTTAAAACCCATAGTAACAACTCAGAACACCCTAGCAACCATCCAGACAAAACTCTCAAAACACCTTAACAACTGCAGAGCGATGACCTGGAAACAACCCACAACTTCTTCAGAAAATCTGGTCTACACTGAAAAATATTTGGCCGAAATTATTTTTACTCATGAATTGCAAGTACATTCCACAAATAACTATAAAGAAATTGCAAGTAAACTTTAAATATGAGATTTTGAAGTAGAAAGACTGAAATAGTATTTTTTAAAACATACTCTAATATTCTTTATTTACAACTGCGAAAAATATTTTGACACTTTAACTCTTAGTTTTTAGTTTTAATTTGTAGTAACACTGTGTACAGTATGTTGTAGTAATACGCTAAAAAACAACAACAAAGAAACAATTTTAGCTAGCATTTAGTGACTAATATTCAGTTTAACGGTAATTTGAGCCATTAAAGATGCTTTGGATGGGTGGACTGAGCTACTGGCTCTTCTCTAAGCCTTAAACAGCATTGAGGTGAAGTGAGCCGGTGAAAGTGTGAGGACTGTGTGACTAAATCGAACAAGACTGATGATAAGACTAACTCAAAGTAATCAATCAGCTTTTCACATGACCTGTGTGTGAATGGAGCCCTTCCTACACTGGTCTTCATGTTGACTTAGCAGGCAGACACGTTGAGAACGGCACACAATTACGAATTTGCCTTGCAATTGATGTCAAACAGTGTGTGGATGTGGAGCCGTTTGAGGACTGAATCTATATGCTCATTTGCAAACAGAAAAAGGCCTTCGAGGGGTATGAAGTGAAACAAACAGAGATAAAAAGGATTTGAGAGAAAAACAGAAACACTCCTCCACCGTTTCATGACATCAGTGCAGGACTCGCTCGCGTGTGGTGCTGCTCATCTGAAGCCTACACCTCAGATAATTACAGGGCTGTGACAGTCAGACGCTTTATGACACACCCACGCATAAGCATACACACTCGCTCACGCGTCAAAAAAAAAAAAAAAAAAAGGAGTTGTTGTCTGTGTTTTTGTATGTCATCATTGGACTCCTACTGCCAACCTCTTACTGGAGGATGTCGTGGAGCCACAGTAGAGAGGCCTGTGGGATACAATTGATCCACACTGCTCATTTAGTCAGGTTGGTTTTTCATTGAAATATACAGAGTATTAAAACCGCTACTTTCATTTGACAGGAACATTATCTCACAGACTCTCAAAATTTAATGAGACATTTTACACATGAAAACAAAAAATTTAACACAGCTGAAGTACAGCAGGACCATGCAGTAGCTTATAAACTCTTGGAGAAAAAAATATGTTTTTGTGTGATAATTGAAAGAATTTCTTATTTTCAGGAATGTAATCTGGTTAAGCTCAGACACAATTTAAAAGCACAATATGTAAGATTTTTTTATTAAAATATCCAAAAACCACTAGAACAGTGTTATATATTTCCCACATACGCACGACCGGAAGGAGCGGAAGCGGTCGACTGTGGCATAATAAAAGCTCCGCTGCTTTCGAGCCGTGTGTCACGCTCGTTCAGTGGCCTCGTTTCGCTTCGACGGCTTTCAGCCTCACCCTGCTTCATTCTACTACGTTAATAAATCATTAGCTCATCCATGAACATGATTTCTGCCCGAGTCCCGTCGGATTGCATCGGCTGTGGGGATGAAGACGACAACTCCCATGATTCCACACTCAGTCACGGCGTCATCAAACTACGCCTTTGTCTCTTTGTTTATTTTGAATACGCGCCCTCTAGTGGCGAAAATTACATATTGTGCCTTTAAGTTAGCAAAAAATTATATAAACAGCATAATTTGCAATTAAAAGTAATTCTAACAGGATGGAAATAAAGTGCTAGGAAGTTAACTATTGCTTAATTGTTTTAAATTAGGGTGTAATTATTTTCCAGCTTCTGTAATTTTATGTAACGAGATACGTTTTAACATGTCTATTTTATTTTTACCAATCTTTGTGTAGTTGTTTTCCGAAATGAAAATGAATTACAAATTAAACTCCAATTATCTTCAGAAAACAAATTTTGTTTGAAACATCTTGGGCGAACATACATTAGATAGATAGATAGATAGATAGACAGACAGACAGACAGACAGACAGACAGACAGACAGATAGATAGATAGATAGATAGATAGATAGATCTTCAAACATTAAAGACAAGAAGCCATATGTTCATTATGAATTATTCTTTTATTAAATGAATATAAAAGCTACATTAAAATACAGACATTCCTTAAATTATTGTTTGAATAATAGGTTTGGAGAATCCTACATTCATACATTAACATTGACTTATGTAAAGTTGGTAGTGCATATCAGCAACACGTGGTCAGAGACATGGAAGGAGCAGTCAGGCAGGGCCTGCTTTAATTGTCAAATGACAGTGTTTCACTGAGCAGTTATGAAGTGAGCACACTTTGTTCCATGACCAGTTCCTCAAGGGCTCAAATTAGCTGTGATTCTCGCACTTGACTTGCTGTCATTGGGCAGGTGATGAAGTTTATCTCGTTCAGTGCCACATGCCTTTGTTTACAAACACAGAGAGGTAGTTATTCAGGGTGTGCATCAAAATGACTTTCAGAACAATAATTGCAGGGACAGTCCCATGATCACAATGATAATGGCCAGAGTCTTTGTACCAGCCCAGGTCATGGTTCACTTACGAAATCGAACCTGTGACCTGCTTGACTATAAAACAATGTTTTAAAAATTTAACGTACATGCTTCAATGAATTGCATAACTAACATTACAACAAGCATAGATTCAAAACAACAAGGGCAATAATGCATATCCCGTGTATGGAGCCTTATGTGAACCACTAAATTAAACGTAGCCACAAAAACAACCCGCTGTAATAACTGTTCTTATGGGCCCTGCAGCTTGTGCTATACAAAACTGAGCGCTAAAAGCATGAGGTGTTCTCAGCTAAAGACACCTCAGGCAACAAGAGCACTCTCGTCCTTTATTTCCTCGCTCTCGTCTCTCAGGAGCGCTCGAAATATCACTTTGCCCTGCTGTGCCATTCACTTTGGTCTTTGCTGAACATCATCTTGCTCTTAAAATCACTCAAAAAATAATTATGTTCAATGAACCTACTTTGACTTATAATATAAGAACATTAAAATCTGCTAATGCAATTTTTTAAATAAAAAATATTTTTAACTTTTTAATCAACCTAAACACTAAAAAGAAAAGTTTTGGTGCTCTAACCAATTTTTAAAAAAACTGTGATATAGTTCCTCTTCTGTCCATCAAAACACCAAGCTTTAAAAGTGTTTTCTATCTGAAGAGCATCACAAATCCATCAGCTAGAGCTATGAATAGGGCCGATCTGCTTTCACATCACAACATCCAGACAACACAAGCCCAGTGGTGGCAAAACGGCACGCTAAGCATGCTTTCAGATTAAAAACACTTCATCACAATGTGTCTCTCTCAAGCTCCACAGCCTGAGACCTCTGCAGTCCATCATATGATGGGAGTATGAAGCATGCATTGCATGTCCATATGGACCAGCTGCTTCCCACTGCACACCCTCTGGGGTCCACAGCAATTGTGTTTAAGCAGATTATCCTGCAGAGTTTAGCCACGCTGGATTTAGCTGTTTGTCGGCACTGTGAGGTGCAGGAGGCCCAGCAAGAGCCATTGAGACAGAGCGGCCTGGTGGACAATGGAGATGAGGAACGGCCAGACCCAGGGGAAGACAGCAGGTATGGACTGTCTGGAAACCTAGAAACTGAGCACCAGTAATCATAAGTGACAGATGCCTCTATTTGCAGCCGGGGCGGCATATAATCCAAAATAATGAAACCTTACTTTGAGAATGACGCACAGAATGATATCTGAGAGACATTAAATGGATAGTCCATTCAAAAATCACTGTTTTCTGTGGAACACAAACAAAGATATTTTGAAGAATGTTGGTAACCAAATGATTTTGGGTCCCATTGACTTCCATATGGACAAAAATACTATGGAAGTCAATGGGACCTGAAACTGTTTGGTTACCAACACTCTTCAGAATATCTTCTTTTGTGTTCCACAGAAGAAAGAAAAACATACAGGTTTGGAATGACATTAAGGTGAGTAAATGATGACAGAATTGACATTCTTTGATGGACTATCCCTTTAAATCACATATTCAAACTTGACACACCAGATTTGACGTCAGTGACACCAAACACCACTGGTTCTTGTGTACAAGTTTGAATATGCAAAATAATTCTCCTATATTCCTCACACAAACCTATTCACCTTTACAGCTTATGAAGACGTCAAATGTAGTGCATCAGTTATATTAACAACTTTTTTGGTGCTTTTAGTCATTTATGTTCACTTGGGGTCCTATAATATTTTCTGGATTGCGTTTTAATGATTATATTACATTTTTGTAATCAAAAAGCATGTCCAATTAATTAAAAAAGGGCCCTATGAAATCTGTTTTATTTTTTCCAAAATTCTGTGTTTTCTGTTTTAATTTTTCTAGATTTATGATTCAATACAAATGTATTATCAAAAATAGTGGTAATCAAATGAAGGCACGAAACATTTACAATTTAATGATTATATTATTATTACTTTGTGAAGTACATACTGCTGTACAACAGCAATGCATTTTATATATTTTAATTTGAGTATTTTCTTCAAGTTTTAGTTCATACTGCGATTTATTTGAGTGTACTGTAAATCATACTACTGAATTATTCATCCAAATTTTGCAGAAATCATAGGGCCTTAGTCACTGCATGCTTTCGCTGTATGGAAAAGAGCAGCATGAACATTCTTCAAAATTTCTCCTTTTCTGTTACATGGAAAAAAGTAAGTCATACGGGTTTGGGATCAAATGATGACACCACGTCTCCCCTAACATCTACCTAAACTCCTTTTGAAACAGGCACAGGCACTCTCTTTAATGCACTCGACAGCTGCTGTTGGTTAAAAGAATGTGGAACAAAATGGAAAAGCTAGTAAAGACCCAATTTAAGCACCTTTGCAGATGATGGGTGTGAGCGAATATCTACAAATCTTTTCTTCGTTAACAAAAGAACCTTGGTGGCCTCCTGACCCTGGACAGCATAACACTGGCCAAGTGTGACTTGGACATGAACATACGTGAACGGGTTGGAATGATGTGACACAGCCCTAAAGGCAAAGACTGTAAAGCAGAACGATAACCTGTGAAGCTACACAACTACATGAATACCAGACATCAAACAAACTTGCAGCTGGGATTTTCGACATTTAAACATGGGAAAAAAATGATATTTTTAGTATTCTAAAATATTTAATGTAATCCAATATTTCACTCAAAACATGTAATAATAATATAACCGTCATATTAAATAAATGTATTAAAAAAGAAAAAAAAGAAAAGCATGCACAATATAAGCTTTGCACTAGTGGTCTTGGACTTTTGGACTCTTCAGATGTAATTGCGGATGCACTAGTTATCAATAATCATGCTTAAATTACCTTTAGGTGGCTAAACTTAATTTAGTATTCATATGGTCACAATGGGAGTGAGCTGGGATTGTGGTTTTGGTGGACCTTATACTGTACATTTGAGAAGCCTTTAACTACCAGAGACAACGCTAACAACTGCACCTGGGCTCAGGTAAAGATATATTTATTTTTTACAAATTCCACTTGTTCCAATTTTTTTTTCTGGACTCCATTTTAATTGTTAAATTAAAGTTTATTAATCAAAAAGCATGTCTTGAAATCATGAAACTTACCAATTCAACAGCAATTTATTAAATATTTAACAAAATTTACATTTTTAGGGCCCTATGAAATTCATTTTATTTTTATTTTTTTACCTGGTAATCAAATTAATGTAAAAAACATTAAATTTTTCTTGTAATCCAATGAAAATAAAACCCTTTCAATTTTTTTGGCAAACAAAGTGCTTCACAACAGGTGTACTGTTAAAACGCAAGAAAAATTGTGTGATTATTCCTTAGAAAATAAAGTTTTAATAATAAATTTATATGGTAGTAGCAGTATTACATTAAGACATATATTTTACTGTACAAAAGTAATATATTTCTGTCACAATTTCTTCAAGTTTAACCGGTCTTTTATTTTGACGTGTTGCCATAAAGAGATTTGTGTGTATATGATATGACGACAGTTTTGCTAAAATGAAAGTGTCAAATGCTCATGAAGTGACTCTCAGAGCAGCTCTGGAGCTGTTGTTCATGTATTTATGTCCTCATTTAGTAAGGAGGCAGATGCTGAAAACACTGCGAGCGTCATGCGCGCTTCAGTATGTGTAGTAAACAAAACCAATCATTCACACAGAGACACTCAGAATATGTAGGATTCAAAAGTCTTTTTGCAGCTTAATATTGACAGACACTAGTCCTTATCGCATTTTGATTTAAGTGTTCTGAACTACTTTTGATTTATTCGTCCAAAATTTGGCAAATTCCGTGACATTCCAAGTTATACAGTAAATTAAATTTTTATGACTGAATCATAGGGCCCTAGATATACAAACATATTCAAGCAACTAAAAAATAACTGCATTCAAAAAAAAATAGAAAAATTATAAGTGAACTAAAGTGGAATGAAAAGGATCCCAGAATTCACTGCTACAAGGTCAGAAATTTTGACTTCAAATATATTTTATTTTTAAATCCATCAAAATCTTCAATTTAGATAAAGTTCAATCCAAAAAAACTTTTCCCCTCAATATACTTGTTTGTGAAATGTATTTCTGTGCATATTAAAAGTTACGAACTGTGCACTAATTATGTTTACTACAGTATTGTGTTATTATCTTAGCATTTTCAAGCTCTATTGAAATCAAAGTGTCAAATCTCCTGTGCATTTCAAGTTGTTGCCTATGTAGATCATTCCAAATCAGTCGAGAAGTTCATTTAAAGTGCTGCATTGGAAGAGAGCTAAAGTATTACTCTCCTCTGCCTAAGTTACATTTACAACAACCAAGTGACCATGCACTTTAAAAACTTTGCACGGACTCGGGTTTCTAGATGGCTGAAAACATTCCCTAATGACCCAGTCCGCTGGGGCAGACGCAGCCTTCTAAACAGCAGGGTGATGCTGGGAAATCAGGAGCTAAGCCATGAATAAGTAAACACCACTCATGCTCAGTGGTGTTAATCATGGGAGTTCATACTGCACGCATTTCCCTTGGGATTTGATCCCAGCACATCTTTCCTCAGTATTGTTTATGCAACATCTAGAGCACAGCCACCAACACGGTCACCTGAATCTCAGTGTGATCAGATAAGATCAGCAGTTCCTTGATCAGCTTTCCTACTTTCGTTCAGTGTTGTTGCGGAACCATCGCACCCGAGCGAACGACAATGGCTATCGCACCCCTACCCAACACGAACCTTCACGCATAGACGATTGTGTGCTGTATTTCAAGCCATGTATCCCATCACTGCATTGGCAGGGTTGCCAGATATGCTGTAATCTTTTCCCCTGGAAACCAGATACAGAAGAGGAAGATCAAACGCTGGGCATGGGATCACATGTCTCCGCTGCTCGTACGGAGCGTGACGCACACATGGCATACAGGGACAGAGGTTTTTCCCATAGCCTCCCACACTCTGGGGCTCTTTTCAGAGGTGGGACGTCTGGTAATCACATGATTAGGAAAAGAACCACACCACAGATTCAGCCAGGTTTGTGAAGATTGGCAAGCTGTGGGATATAATCCAAAGAAAGAATTTTAAAAAACAAAGAAGAAAAAAAAACACATAAAAATGATTCCACTGGAAGCACTGTTAACTTCAAAGGAGGAAAAAAGTTCAAAGTAGAATTTTTCCTCCGATGAACTACTTGTACAGGAATCATTCAAATATTAAAATATGTATAAAATATAGAGGTTTTAAAATATATATACTTGCAAAGTATACTAATATACTTTCTAAATATATATTTTTATAAAGTATATTTGTTGATTTTTGTTGGTTAATTAGTTTGTTGGTTAATTATTATTTTGTTAGTTTATTATGTTCATTGCTAACATCTGGTAAAAGTATATGCATATGTGAATGAATTCTAGAGCTGTGTGGAACAATTTGCAAATTGGATATATGTATTTGGAAATCCTGTTATGGCAAAAAGAAACAAAAACAGAAAAAAAGAAACAAAACTAAGCAAAAACAAAAATAAAATAAAAGCAAAACAAAGCAGAAATAAAATAACAAATTGTATTAAATAATACAAAATGTTTAAAAGAAACAAAAGCAGAAAAAAGAAACAAGTAAGCAAAAAGCAAAACAAAGCAAAAACTAAAAAATATATATAAAAAGTTTAAAAGAAATGCACAAAAAACCCTAAAAGGAATAAGAAAAAGAATAAGAAAACAAAACTGAGATAAAAGCAAAACAAACAAGCACAACCAAGTGACACAGATTAACTAAACAAATTGTATGCTGTTATTGGACACCTCTGAAACCAAAAAGAAAACCATGAGACTAAATTTTCTTTATGCTGAATTTGTTTCATTGTGTTTGCATTTTATGTGCAACAAGGGACTTTTTTATAAAACAAGAAACCTGCTGGAAGAAACCAGAGTCTGTTAGCCTGCATAAAAGTTTCTTTTCACCTGATTCTCTATGCATGTGAATGAAGAAAAATGCAGTTAGAGCACTTTTATACTTCGAGGTAGCAATTAAGATGTTCCTGGCAAGGATTTTGCTTTAGGAACTTTATTTTGAACTCCTTATTAACTGCATTATTGGTTCACGGGAGGATTAAAATTCTCAGCAGGTGATGCTGAAACTAAAGGAACAACATGTTTGTTAAACACACACACACACACACGTGCACAGACACACACATAAGAGAACGACCTTCGCAACAACCTTACAGTCCCAGTCAAGGAAAGTTTCACGCTCCCCCCTGACATCATTACAAGTGCTACTAAGGACAGTGCAAAGGCACCAGGAAGGTGGATGTTAAAAGTTAAAAGGCCAGATGCTTGTTTTCATAGCTGGTGTGACTCATCTGCTCCTGTGTCAGCTCCTTCCATAGAAGGGGGCAGGTGGAAATGGCAGGACGTTGGCCTCTAGAGGCCCGAGGGTTTAAATACAGCCTGCTGACATAACTGACCGGAGATCAACGCTTCTGCTTCATTTTTCCGCCACACCTACTGTTTTTCCGCCTGATCCCAGAGGGTAAAGATGCTGGATGTAAAACGGTGACACAGTCAGGGCTCAAAAAAGGGATGCAGGCATAACAATTTATTTTTATCCTCATAACGCTCATAAGCTATCTTTATCTTCCTTTTTTCCAGTGACAGAGACGACACAGGCCTGCTTAGTGTGAACATGGAGGAACTTGTAAAGGTAGGAATTCTGATAAATATAGAGATGCAACAATATTAAAATTTCAATACAGATAACGTCAACATTGTTCATGTTACAGCCAATAACAAATAAATTGTCGATATTAAAATGTACACTGTTTTGTCTAAATAAATTACAAATAAAACACTACAAAAATCATGCTGTAAGAGAATTAGTCATTGCAACATTATAATGTACAATATGAAAAATAAATATTCATTTTAAAATTGGCCAAAGATTAAATTTTCAGCAAATTTAAGTAATTAAATTATGAGTGTTTTTTAAAGATTAACTTTAGGTGAGTGTTCGAAGACAATTAAATATCATTTATTGGCTGATATATATCCAAATGTAAACAATTTTATTGATATTGATATAATATTGTATATCTTTAAATAAATATGATATTTGATTTTTACCTTGCAAAATATACTTACAAGTCAAAACCTGAATGAATTAATAATAATTAATTCCCTACAGTTAAAATTAAGTAATCAAAGTCATTACACCTGACAATTTATTTAATTTCTTATTATTATTTCTCTTTTGTATTATTTAATCTTTAAATAAAAAATAAATGGCAACTGGGAAGAAAAATACCAGTTATATTTACCATTATTTAGATACTATTATAGTATTTATTAAAATTTTGAATTAATTTTCAAATCAATTTTAGTTTTGATAATTTGTATGTGCTTTTGTCATTTGCATTCTTTTTTTTCATTCTATTTAATGTTAATTTGTTTTTCATTTCAGTTTTAAATTTTAGTAGATTTGAATACTTCAAAACCTAAGTAAAAATGAGCAATGTTGCAGCTAAATGAAATAATATAAGTTTAAAAAAAAAAAATCTAATATTTATATTTTTTTAGGGCTGTCAAAACGATTAATTGCAATCAATTGCAATCGAAAATAAAAGTTATACATGTATATATTGCAATAATTATACTGCATACCTTTAAATATGATACGTTTTTGATACATTTTTGACTTATACCTTGCAAAATATATGTGCAAGCCCTGACAATTGCTTTATTTTTTACAAAAATTCTTGACTTCCTCACGGAGATCAAAACAATCCACAGGTATGCCACTCAAAAGTGGTGAAAAAAGCCCCTAAAACTCCCATTTACCCCATTAAAATTTCACCTTTCATGGTTCCCTGTGCTTTCATTTAAATCCTTATGTGCTGTAGAGAATCCATACGGTCGCATTAATCACTTTGAATGTGAGGGATTGGGTCCAGATTAAAGCATCATTATAACTAACCCCTCTTCAATGAGTACAAAAACCTGCCAAACCAAAGCAACGTGGCCACCCGTCAGTTTAATCCCATCCCAAAGCAGAGAGAATGTTAAAACACATTCATTATTGTTGGCACCAGCGAACAAATGTTTATGATGGAGGATCAAATGCCTTCACTCCGCCTACACAAAGCAAAGATGTATTAATCTTGAAAGTAAATGATTCAGTACCTGCTTTGGGTTTCTTGACATTCATCATTCTTGCTGCTCTCCGGCCGCAGAAACGTTTGAGCTGCTGTCTGTTGAGATCTAGAGCTGCGATTCTTCAGCAGGAGGGAACTTCCTCGTCCGGACTGACCTCGGCTCCTTCTGCGAGCCACTTTACCCACGGGCCCTGACCTCACACGCCAGGCCGAAGAGCTGGAGCTGTGAAGAGACAGAAATCAGTACTCAAAACTTACTCAGGGACACACAGTGACCCCAGAAAGTATTTGGACACTTGGCCATTCACAAATAACACATTTTTACATTTCATTGCCCTGCTGTTCCATTGTTTTTCTATGTAAACATGCTAGATGGACATGTTTGAGGAAAGAAACTCATACAGGTTTAGAACAACATAAAGGTGAGTAAATTACATTTTTTTTTTAATAAATACATTTCATTGCATCAACTTTGTGGCATCTGCAAACAAATAATGGGACAGTTTCTCAGAAACAACTTCACATTGAGATATTTTTCCACTTCTGGAAAATGTTCCCGCCATTTTGAATTTTGTCCAAAACTAGTCCTAGGTTTTTCATCCGATCAGAACCAAACCAGTGCAGAAATATTTTCTGGACAGTGAATATCAATAATTATCAAAAAAAAGTTGAAATTTCAACTCATACAGGTATGAGGACATTGGCATATCTCAAAAAACATGGCCGCCATCGGCCAATGAAGTTTGAGCACCTATTAGACAAGGTTAACGGAGGCCGATCGGAACGAAACTCTGTGGGCATGTTCGACCAATGGCCCTAAAGGTCTGAAAGAATTTTGAAAGAAATCGGCCACTGGGGGGGCGATATCACATTTTTCAAGTTTAAAAATGATTGTATATTGCACGATATTTCACACATTCACTCAAAATGCATATCATTTGATAGATCTCCTCATGCTCAGCAACTCTGCCTCAAGAGCCATTGTTGTCAATCAAATCGTTCATTAAATATTCACAATTATGTTTAAAACCTACTTTTGCGAACAAGTCCTAGGTTTTTCGCTCAATCTCGATTAAACCACTGCGGCACAATTCTCTGGAATCTATAGATCAATAATTATCAAAAAAATGGTTTACCTTTGGTTACCTATAACGAGGTAATTTAGAAAAGAGGCGTGGCCAAGTATACCCAAAAGCCTATAAAACCTAAACGAAAACTCAAAACTTTACGAAACTTCTTGAAAACATGTGTCAGATGACTCTTAACAAGCATGCAAAGTTTCATGGAGATCGGACCATAGGTGGCGCTGTAACAGTTAAAAAGGCCTCAAAAACACAATATTTCTATAGAAAATGACCTCAAATTGTAGAACATGTCCATATATTCACACAAACACTAGATTTTCATATCATATGATAGATCTACTCTTTCTGAACAACTTTGCCTCTAGGACTAATGCTGTCAATCAAACTGTTCATTAAATATTTGAGATTATTTAAAAAACTACTTTTGTGAACTAGTCCTAGGTTTTAAACTCAAAATCGATAAAATCACTGAAGTACAATTCTTTAGACTCTCTAGGTCAATAATTATAAAAAAAAATTTAGAACCAATTTAGAACATTTAGAACCAATAGCTACAACATGCCACAGTTGTAATATAAATCTATAGGGGAAAATCTATTCCCTTAACAGATTATCTAATATAAATTCTACAAGTTAGACTAAATTTTACACATGGAGATCGGACCATAGGTGGCGCTATAACAGTTAAAAAGGCCTCAAAAACACAATATTTCTATAGAAAATGACCTCAAATTGTAGAACATGTCCATATATTCACACAAACACTAGATTTTCATATCATATGATAGATCTACTCTTTCTGAACAACTTTGCCTCTAGGACTAATGCTGTCAATCAAACTGTTCATTAAATATTTGAGATTATTTAAAAAACTACTTTTGTGAACTAGTCCTAGGTTTTAAACTCAAAATCGATAAAATCACTGAAGTACAATTCTTTAGACTCTCTAGGTCAATAATTATCAAAAAAATTTAGAACCAATTTAGAACATTTAGAACCAATAGCTACAACATGCCACAGTTGTAACATAAATCTATAGGGGAAAATCTATTCCCTTAACAGATTATCTAATATAAATTCTACAAGTTAGACTAAATTTTACACAATAAATAAGCCTACAATAAAAGTGATAAATTCTAGTAAAGGTGGTCATGAGTAGTTTAAAAAGATTTTAATATTGGCGTGATGGCTGAAGACTGTTTTCTCCTCTTTTCATCAGTCTTTTTAGTTATTTGCCTTTTTTAGATACTGTTCGACTTTCTCCATAGCATTTAAAGTGGCTGTTTCTCTAAATAATTCAAATAGATCACATATTTGAAAAATCCACACGCTGACCCTCAGTAACCCTATTCGGTCTCAAGGATTTCATTCTACTGACACTAATGCAGGAGCTGCTGGGAATGACAGGTATGTAGACATGTTTTTCTTAGTTTTACTAGGAGAAAGGTTTGTGAAACACAACCAGGGTGTTCAAATGTTGAAATTACAGCATAAATTTAATTACATTCACTTCAATATTTGTAAGTCTATCTGGTACTAAGTTTGATGCAGCCATTTTGAAATATGGATTCAACTGTTTTCAACCTAAATATCTAAAGCAACAAATTGCAAAAGACACCTGCCACCCTTAAGTATGCGCTATATTTAGGCATCTCAGCAATGTTCTGTATGAACACAAGCTCTCATAATAAAATGCGATGGCGTGCATGTGAACTTGAATTTCCTGCACAAAGATAATCAGATACACGCACATGCAAACAGGTGAGTAGACACACAAAACTCTCTCAACTAGCCAGAAGCATTTTCTCAGACAGTTAAAGCTCCAGAACAAGATTCATTCTTGCTCAGACAAAAGTACAAAGCCATAAATTTTGTCACTTTGTGATGAAGAAAAAAAATTAAATAAATGCAAGGACCTGATTAGTGACATCCAACTGTATTTAACTCCTTGAACTCTGCTAAAGCAATAGTTTGCACAAAAATTTAAACTCTTATTATTTGTTCATCATTTACTTCCTCGTCTTGTTCCAAACCTGTATGACTTTATTTCTTCTGTGGAAAACAAAAGAAGATATTTCAAAGAATGCGCTGGCTGCTCTTTTACATGCAATTACAATGAATGATGACTAGAGCTGTAAGAATTGTGCAATTCGTTCACAAACTGGACATCTCTAAATCACTCAAAAACTCGCTATAATCTAATGGATTTCAGGATTCCACCATATTTTTTTTTGTGTTCCATAGAAAAAAGAAAGTCATAGGGATTTGGAACAACAGAGTAAATAATAATAATGGAGTAAATAATGAAAAAGTTTAATGGGATACTTCCAAAAACTTTTTAGTTTATTATATTAACAGTTTTTTTTAATGAGGCACAGGTATTGCAGTCAATTGAAACATTGTACCAAATAACTATATTTAAACACAAAAGGGGACAGATTGTTTAGCCTCTTTTCTTTATTTCTTTCACACACCTGTCTTCAGTGGCACCTCCATCTGAATCTTGAGAAGGGAGCTGCTCCTTCTTGACCCCACCCAGAGTGGAATTCTGGGAACGCCTGCTACTGCTCCTCCTGGTTCGACCCTGAATCACATACATTCTCAGACTGATATGTATAGGATAAATGCACAGCACAGCAAAAATGTATCAAGTGTTTCTTCTCTCTGATATCGATATCTGATATCGACAGTGGAGTTGCTGCTAACGCATTGTCATTTTTGATTTCAAATGATGCTGGTCATAAAGTGGTCATAAAATGAGATGCACCTGTGCCTGAGTAAAGGAGGTGGAGGTTCTGGTTTTGGGGAGGTGGCCGAGGGCAGGGCTCCTCTTGGCAGGAGAAGACCTGGCAGCTGCACTGTACTTGCCTGACTCCAAAAGGTAATGCTGAGCCACTTTCAGCAGCCGCGTGAAAACATTCTTAGTGCTCGAGCCTGTAGCCGCTGGAGAAACAGATCACATAAAAGGGAAGTATATGTCTATTAACATTTATATGCACATACACATAATAAATACATAGACAAATAAATATAAAATATAAAATCAATATAAAATCAAATATGAATAAGTATAACAATTTTATGATTTTTGCACTTTTATCTGGTGACAGCATGATATAAATATAATTAACAAATTCAGTAATGAAATAAACACTTATATACATACTTACAGACACATACAAATTAATATGAATTCACTGGTACAAACTCTCATGTAGGAATGAAATTCAAAAATAAATAAAAAAATATTAAATAAATAAATAAATACATACATTTCTATGTAAAGTATTCTTGTAATGGCAAAGCTGATATTAATATTAAGCAGCAAAACTGTTTTCAGCATTGATAATAATAAATGTTTCATGAGCAAATACGTATGCATGTTTACTTCATTTTTTTTTTTTTAGTCATTGTTAAAATACCACATGGAACTGCAATTATAACTATATTTTCATACATTCCAGAGAAAATGTGAGTGGTTCTATTCTTATAGCATGACTTTAATACGTATGCATGTATATAATATATATATATATATATATATATACACACACACACACACACACAATAAAGTTTTTTCTATTTTATGTTTACAGTTTTTTAATTTATCAACTTATTTTATGCATACATAATATTAATAAATTACAATGAAATACATTTTTAGACAAATATTTTAAAACAAAAGATGAAGTTTGTGATTTATAGTGGCACCAAATGGAACATCAAAAATGTTCTATCTATCTATTTATCTATCTATAGTGACACCCATAAATCAAACATTTTTGTTTTGAAACTGGTCTAAAAGTGTTTACTTCATTTTTTTTTTTTAGTCATTGTTAAAATACCACATGGAACTGCAATTATAACTATTTTCATACATTCCAGAGAAAATGTGAGTGGTTCTATTCTTATAGCATGCACATGACTTTAACAGACTAAACTGGGACAAAGGTTATTTTAAAGCCACTTTTAAAGCACTTGGCTCTTTCAAAAGTAAATCTAAAAGAAGTACCGATGGTTGAACTTTTGTGAGCTGCACTATATTTCCAGGTACAAACAAATATCACACCACAGACGGGCCCACAGCACAAAACTGAATGTTATCAGACTCTATCACATTTACACAGGTGCTGCCGGCCTGCTCTTGCTAATGCAGGCTGTGTGCTGGAGAACAGATATCCATGCAGGCCACTAATGCCACTAGGGATTCTGTCAGTCCCCTGTAATCTTATCAACACAACATGGAAATGTGGGCTGTATTGTATTTCAAAGCGTCTGTTTTGGTGGTTTTGAATCGGGCAGGTGACAGAGTACAGCTCTGTAAAACTCGAGTGTAATTCGCTTGACATTGAATGCGTGAATCGGTGACCTGAAGTACAGTGTGTCAAGGGTTTTAACCTATTGTCTTGATTTCTTTTTCTGGGCTTTCCGCCAACAGTATTAACTCGTGCCGTGTGATTGGACCCAAGCAATGCTATAATCTCATGGATGATACGGCAGGGTGCCATCTTAAGATACTAACGCACTTTCGTTATGACACTGTATCCGCCTCTCGTAGCAATGACCCATTAGGTTAAGAGCGTGGAGGTCCAGACCTGCCTAAATTACTCATAAATCATCTCTATGAACCACCTCACCTTTCTTGGAAGTGTTCCTGGCAACGTCTTGAGAAGGTTTTTCATCTTGTTGTCCATCGCTGAGAGAACTTGTACAGCCTTTTGCGCTTTCTTTTTTCACTTTCTCTGCAAAGACAGATGTGAAACGAACATTTTTAAATGCAATGTATAAGCGTCTAGTAGGACAAAAATGAATAAAATAAATAAATATAAAAACAAAAAAGGAAATACATTTTAAATTAAATGATATAAATACAATAAAAGAAATACATAAAAAGAAATACACACATTTAAAAAAAAAAGAAAGAATTGAGATTTATTAAAATTTAAATTTAAAAAATCCAAAATAAAACAAAATAATTTAAAAATCAAATTCTACAAATAAAATTAATAAAAAACATAAATAAATAAATATTAACATGTATAACAAACATGCGCACAGACACACACATATACAGTATATACTGTAGTGTGTGTTTGCCCTAAGTGTTATTTCGTATGGAAGCTTTTCTGCCCCACAAAAAGCAAAGCAAAGCGAAAAATACCGCACACACATGCCAACTCACTGCAAATTACAAATTACGGCAGCAGTAAATGTTTGTGTCGCATTTTTAACTATACAAAGAGTCAAAGATACATTTGAAATACTTCGCAACTACAATTAAACTTTAAACCCAGGCTTTGGAGAAAGCCTTAATTTCACAATCAATCTTCATCAGCGGCAGTTTAAAGGCTTTAGTTCACAGTGGATCTCATAAAAACAAGTTCTGGCAGGTTCATGAGAAAACGCTGGAAGATACCGGAGCTCATCCTACCTCCCTGAAGCACCAAAGGCCCTAAAGGACATATATAAAAAAGAAAACTTCTCATTTACTGTATTTTCTGATGGATTTTTCAATGACACACAGCTAAAATATGACAGAGATAAGTTATTGAAACAATTGAAGGGGTATCCCTTGTAGATATTCAGGGGTACAATTTGGTAGAGAATGAAAGTTAATGGACCACGTCACCACAGTCGACTCAGTGGCATCTGTTTCAAAGAGCAGGATCCAAACACATTAACAGATGCAAAATAAAGGTTTATCCTAATGCAGTAATGACAGGGCTATTCTTGGAGAATCATAAGTAATCCCATCATTTTTGTGCTGCTCGACAGGAGAAATTCTCATTGTATTTTCAACTCCAGTTGACGCCACAAATGGGGGAACGTTCAAATACAAATACAAAAGGTAAAGTTGGCAGAAGGTTAGGATAAAGTCTCATTAACTCATCCACGGTTGCAGACATTCTCCAGCCCTCACATACGCTCTTTGAAGAAGAAAACGCCCAGCTTTAGGTGCATTGTATTTTCAACTCCAGTTGACGCCACAAATGGGGTAACGTTCAAATACAAATACAAAAGGTAAAGTTGGCAGAAGGTTAGGATAAAGTCTCATTAACTCATCCACGCTTGCAGACATTCTACAGCCCTCACATACGCTCACATACGCTCTTTGAAGAAAACGCCCAGCTTTAGGTGATGCTAAAAAGCAGCTTTCCTCCAAAATGACTCAACTGATAACCAGAAGGCCATCGCATCAGACTCAGAAAAAGGCTGTGTAAACAATGATAACAATGCTAACGCATTAGTGACAATACACACACATCTGGTGTGTATGTGTGCTACTGAGCACTCAACCACTGTTATATTATCAGAAGACATTTTAAACGCAGCTTACCGTATATACATAACATCGGTTAGGTTTACCTAGTTTATTTAAATTTCAGAAAACACATTGGATGTTATTGGTAAAATAGGCACAGTTTAGATCTATAACATTATAAATAATGGTAACACCTCATTAAGTTATGATCAATGCTTAAAGGTTTAATTCACACAAAAATAAAAATTCTGTCATTAATTACTCACCCTCATGTCATTCCAAACCTGTAAGACCTTTGTTCATCTTCGTAACACAAATTAACAAATTTTTGATGAAATCTGAGAGCTTTCTGACCCTGCATAAACAGCAATGCAACTGACACGTTTAAGGCCCAGAAAGGTAGTAAGGACATCATTAAAATAGTCCATGTGACATCAGTGGTTCAACCGGAATGTTATGAAGCTACGAGAATACTTTTGGTGTGCAATCAAAACAAAATAACGGCTTTATTCAACAATTTGTTTCTCTTTGTCCTTTTTCTTTTCTTTGCCAACAAAAAGTATTCTCGTAGCTTCATAAAATTACGGTTGAACCACTGATGTCACATGAACTACAGTATTTTAATGATGCCCTTACTACCTTTCTGGGTATAATATTATATAATTTTATCTAATAGAAAATTTGACATACTGTGGGAAACCAAGCAACACCTGCACTCATTAAAACATGTATTACCGTAATACCCCTAGTATCACGAAGATCTTTTAAACAAAAACACATATATATCTCAAATCTATAACAGAATACAGAAAATACATTTACAAGTCATCCCCAATGATCCATATACAACTATATCAACAAAATATACAAACAAAATATACATATATACCAATAATGATCTCTAATTGACTCCAACAATAGTTCTTTACATCAGTTTTTGTGTATACAATCAATAAACATCATACCCAAGTACTCTTCGAGTCCCCCATATATATCATCAAATTATTTTAAAGGTCACATATTGTACACCTTTTTGGAGTTTTATTTTAGGTTTTGATGTCCTTAAGAATATATATTTGCGGTATAAGTACCAAAAACCATCTCAATATATTTTTACAGCTCCTCTCTCAGGAGCTCTGCTGAGAACAGATCGATTTCGGCCTGTCTAATTAATATTCATGAGCCTCTCTTCTGATTGGCCAGTTGTTTTCTGAGTGACGCACGGCCAGGCCAACCACAGGTAACTAGGATCAGCCGACGTCACAGCGCTAGCTGGAGGCAGCAAAACAAAGGGGAAACTGGAGGCGGCCCATTCAAACCAGCGCAGATTCAGCTACATAAGGAGCTTAAAATATCATCTTATTGTGATGTTGGGTGCCAGAATCGACGTAATACAGCCTCAAATTAGAAATTCGATCGCATATCTGCTGCCACT